CACACGCTTTCAGTTATAATAGAGACAAATTCATCAGTGCGCCAGGGGTGTGCGCTTTTGCCTTTACTTTTTGCAGTATGCTTGGAACCGCTTTGTGAAAGTGTACTGCTCCATTTAGGTATTAGAGGTTATAGATATGAATCAGAGGAAATTAGAGTCTTATCCTACGCAAATGCAATGCCTCGTTCTGCCTTGATAAACGGAGTGTTGAAGAAGCAGTGAACAGTATTATGCGTTTTTTGTAAAATTTCCGAAGCTTAAGTAAGTTTTGATAAAACCAGATGGTCTTGATTGCGCACATGGGCACTAACTCCCTCGGTGTTTGCAAATATTTGTGGTAATAGTGCTCCAGTTCGTTATTTTGGTGGTCCTCTTGATACCCACTGTATTAGTGGCCCTCATTGGCCGTCCACCATAACCATCATCAGTCGAAATGCGTTAACTTGGCAACGGTGGGATCTTTTCGTTTTTTTTTGGAGAGCTGAAGCATGCAAAATCTTTTTTGCATCAAAGCTTATCTATATTCTACAAGTATTGCATTGCTCTCGCGTACATATCCAGGCGTTTTGCTGGATATTTGCTTGCTTCGTTTGGAATTCATCATAAGAAGCCATGCGAAGAGACAACCTTTTTCCTCCGCTTGAGAAGGGGGAAGGGGGCTTAGTCTTGTGCGTTTGTTTGTATGGCAACTGGGGATGCAATTTTTTTTGCCTTAAGGATGTGTGTCACCCGTTCCTTTTGAATGTTATCCGGAATCGACTTGCTTACTAGCTCTCTTTTTTTGTCATGACAAGAGTGGCTAAAAACCGCAATTGTGGAGTTTTTTTAAAGATTTTTGAGGCCATGCAGTTTTTGAAAGCGAGATTCTTTTTAGAATATCTATACAGTGTAGAAAGAGTGACACTGACTGCTGCACTTGTCAGCACCCTCTCCCTTGAACCTGTTTACCGACAGCCATATTTATCTCGAACTGTTCACGATGTGTTCTACCGTATGCTTAAAATGCGTATATCGCCAGCAGCGAAAACAATTTTCTTTAGGCTACACACCTCCACATTACCTGTAAGGACGTGGCTTCATGAAAAAGATATATACGTACCCTTGTCACTAAATTCCAGACTGTGGAATGAGCCTGAAACAATCGAGCCTTGTTTTATTCATTGCTGTGATGCGTGTTATTTTTGGGACATTTTAAGAGAACCATCAAAAAAGAATTTCCTATTACAGCTCATGGTGTTAGGCTGCTACCTTTGAAATAAAAAACTCTTAACAATTATGCTCAATATGATTTAATTATGTTATTGGGCCGTTAGTCATTATGGAGGAGCCGCATGATTCACAGACGTGCTGAGCCACCTCGCTCAACCGAGTCTGTTTTCCGAGAAGAGGCAGCCAACGTGCGTATTGTTGTAGAGACGTCCGACCTTGTTTGGGAGTGGCTTGAACTTCTGGACATGCGTGTTTGTTTACCAGACTTTTGAAAGTTCCTTGTACTGTATGAAAATGTGTCTTGTGCATGTGTACACGTGAGCATATAGTGGAAACGATTGATTTTATAGCTATATATCACATCCTTTGATTGCCACTATTTCCATGCATTAACGAAAAAAATCACCGGCGTGGCTCAGCGGTAAAATACTGGGCTGGCTCCAGCAGACCGAGGTTCGAGCCCCGCTGTATCATTAGTGCTAGTATTTTTTATAATTTTGTGTGATGTGGTTACGGACACCAACGGTGGCGGTAGTGCCAGAAAACTGTGCTTGACCCTAGTTTTGATCTCATAACAGCTTTCAGTGTAGTATCACATGTAGAAGACCTTCTATTGGCCATTGGCTGATTTGAACATGGCGCGCTCGGTCGTTACAAGGACCACTGTGGGAGGCCACCACTTGTCCACGCGTGCGCAAGCAATCACACTGAGAGGTCGTGCATTGGAATTAAAGGAAAAAGTTCTCAAGGTCACGTGGAGCGCGTGACGTATTTTCTTGGTCTATGCTGTCCCTCCCTGCTTAGCTTCAAGCTCTTATGTTGGGACAAAAAAAGTGAGAATGCGATTACAGATTGCGACAAATGTTTGTAACTCTGCTCGTACTGGACCAATCCCTAAAAATTTAGCAGCGTATAAATTGGTAGCCAATGAGCTCTTTAAGTGAATCTGTTTCATGGTTCCTTGAAAAAGTATTTGAGGGCCCCTTTAAACCATGAAGTCATTGGAAAATCACATGTTTTGACACCCCATGACATTTGACACTTGTACCACAAATTATTGCTGCAATATTTAGTGTTGTATTGTGAAGGATGTTTACAATTTGCGTGTGTTGTAAAGCAAAAAATTTTGTATCACTCTACTTTCAAGCACAAAATAGTATTCTTCTGCAATCACAAGCAGACATATGGCTGTGAGGCTGAACACGTGCCTGCCATGAATATGAACCAGGTTTCATCCCTACTCGGATGGATTTTTTGTTCACGCCTAAGATGATCATTTCTGACTCAAAACTATCGAAATTCACAGCAACAACGCCGACGCCTGAATGTCTGCGAAACGAGCTCTTTACCACCGTCGCGTTAAAAGACAAGTGACCTTGAGATGGCTGCGAGATCTATTACCCTTTGGTCACTTCAAAATGCATCAACTTGCATTCAACAGGATAATGTACAATTCAAACTTTTGGCTGAGATGCTGGAAACTTTGTGACATTGCAGTGGCGTCTATAACCGTGGAAGGATATATACTCTACTGAAACATGTCGAATGTAGATAGAGCGTGTGTTCTATAACAAAAATGATCCTCATTAAAATACACAGCATGCTTTGAAGAGCAGTTTTCAGATAATGAAATCCCATTGCCACTTCTTGGTATGTTGTATGCAGATATGATGCGCGGATATGATGAGTTACCAATTCATAATATACCAATTTATCTTAAGTGAGGTTGATGAACACCCCTGCCCAATGTACTGAGCTGTTCGCTTTCGCAAAAAACTTCAGACAGAAAAAATGTAGGTCACTATGCTGAAACTTGTTATTGTAAGTGTTGTTTCGATACTTCGGTGTTTCTAGTATAACATAATTCCATCATATCAGTCAGTGCACGTCTTGACTGATCCACGCTTCGAATCACGTATCGCAATATGTGCAGTGAAACAAGCTTTGCGGAGTAGAAAATAAGATTTCAGGTACTTGTCAACATACTAAAATACCGATGAATAGTGATTTTCATGGTTCAATAAAGCTAGTTTACAAAGCAAATAAATATTATTTTACTGACTCTGGTTTGTGTAAACCTTGCACTCATTATTGTAAGATTATTCCTTACTTTTTATAGTAAATTGTACGTTGCAGGTGCACGTGTATTTTTATGTAAATTTTCATATGGTGATATATTTTTCTGTCACCATACTATATAAGAACGCCGTGGCGTTTTTATCAGTTTTCAGCGTTCATTCCCGGCTTCCTCTTTTATAATAAAAGAAGAAAAACATGCTTCAAATTGAAAAGAAACATACCATTTCTTTTCGTTGTTGTGCCTTTATAGAGGTTAGGTATTGAGGCAATATTGTTGGGAAGGTACATGAGCGAAAGTACACATATCAAGAGAGTGCGACTTCAAATCCCTGTTTGTACCTATTAGTGGCCAACTGTCTGCACACGAGATTATTGCTTTGACGAATTTTTTCAGAGAAATGCTCTCAACAACAGACAGTTCACCTCGAAACGATGCGGAGGGCAAAAGTATATGGGCAGCAAGAGTCCTTTTACTTCGGTGCAAGGGTGTTCCTAACTTTCCTTTGTCGTTGTGTTTGATATTGTGTACGCATTATGACAATCATTCCTACGCATCAATATTCGGCTTTTTGGGCTTTTCAAAGGATGAACACAACATACCTTGTTTCAATACTACTTTTTCTTGCACTTCGTCACTCGTGTTGTCATTTAAAGCAGCCGTTAAACATCAGTAGTGTTCATTATAAAAATGTAGGCATGCTGATGCGGACATCGGAGATGAAAATAACACAAATATTTATTAATTATGGCGATATTTTGTTATGTGATATCTAAGTGCCGCTTCCCGGGGTGTTCGGGTATTGCGATATTTTGAGGCAAATATTTCTGCTTCAGCAGCGCACCGTCCTGGACTATGGCAGTAGTGGCGCTTAGCCTCTGCTAGCGAGCTCGCTCAGCAGCTGTGGCCGACGAAGCTCTTTTGCCACTTGGATCAGTGTATGTTGGGAAGAGCTGATGGCACTTTTTTGAACATAAGTACACGGATTACAAAAAGAAAGACCAAGAATAGCATGACTGGCGTGGATCATTCCATGCAGCCCATTTGAAATCAACTGCCGTACAATTAGCTTAGCGCGATGGCCTCACTAGCTATGAGAACGCGGAAGGTCGCGAATGGGTGCACTCCGTAAGAACCAACGCGTGACGAGGCTTACTACTGCAGCATCACGAGTGACAGGCGCGGAAGTTGTTTTCTCAGCACTGGCGTGCCTTCCTCTTTAAGCGCTTCTCGCCATCACCGACTGTCGTCATCTTCTGCACTGCATTCCACGATAACTATCATCCTCGTTCGCTCTGCCGTTTGCGACGATGCTGACGCCACTTAACGCAGGAACGGGTGCCCCGAAACTGTGTGCCAAGAAAAAAGAACGATTCATTTTCACTTTATTATAATTAAAGAGGTTTTACTGTTGAGATAGTTGGTTTCTAGTTAAAAATTACAGGTAGGGCACAAAAAATACAAAGAGGTAGTGAAACTACGAACTAACAAATGGCACCCATGTATATCAGTTCGTGTCTATGCTTGGTCTGCGTCTCTCTGGGTCCTCACCTGTTTTGTCCTCATCTTTCTTCTTCCACCATTTGCGCCAGCCCACATTACTTTGTGGTATATTTTTGCAAGCAATCTATATTCTTGTTTCACTGAAAAAGTACATTCCCGTATATTTAACCTTTCACACTGCTCACTCTGATCCGCTCCACACATCTTTCAGATCAACGTTATTGCTGATCTTCCCGTAGGCGAGAATCTGTACGACCACGTCACCGTGAACGGAATCGCAGCATCATCAGCGGAAAACATAGAACTTAACTACTATTTACCATCTACAGTGTCAAAGTATGTCCTATTTAGAACAGGTAAGAGCAGATCAAGAGCATTTTAAAATTTCATGTGCGCTTATGTTTTTAGGAACAATATATTGCGTTTCCTTTTTCGAGTTTTCGCACTGTTATAATATGTAGATAAAATTATCTTACATATAAATATATATATCTTACATTATCTGCAGAGGGTCAGGGGTGTTTTCCTGCCAGTTAAATACCGCCAGCGATACATTCTAATGCTATATATGACATTCTAATGGTTTATATGAGCGCTATAGTATTCAGAGCAACATAAAACAAACAAAATAACAAATAGGATACTATGGGCTGATTCATAGCGCGCCTGCTAGATCTAGTTCTCTCAAGCAATAACATGAATGCTCAGAGATTGTAAGGGGTAGGGCCACTGCGTATTACTTAGCACAGTGCACAGGCCGGAACGCGCTAATACGTGAGCGCGTTCTGGCAGCGCTCGGGCCTGCTGTTGCGTATGCGAAAAAACATGCACACCGAATAAGCTGCTTCGTATCTAAAGAAAAGTTCGCGGAATACAGGTGACGATGAACGGACTAGTACCTGCACCAGACTGATTATAATTGCTTCTTTCATTCGACTGTGAGTATTGGTTACTTTTTACTAGATTATGTGAGGTTTTGCGTCCCAAAAGCAAGATATCATTTTGCGAGACACCGTAGTTGTGGGACCTGGACAATTTCACCATGTGACCTCCTTTAACATGCACTGACATTGCACAGTACATGAGCTTTTACCATTTCGCCTCCATCGAAATGCGAATGCAGTGGCCACGTTCGAATCTGTGACCTATGAACCTTTATGAATCAACCTCACAAGTTTACGTTTGTAATAACATGTTGACACGACGAATCTGGCATATTTTAGAATGAATCTGTCTCTCTGCCACTGGCTACATTTCAGTAATGTTCCCCTACGTATCTAACGCTACACTGCATGCGAGTATTCATGGCTCGATTCGAACCTTCTAAAGAGATAAAACGCTACACGAGAAGGTCAGTTTATTAATGAACAGATGCAAGGGCCAATGATAACACTGATTTTCACCATTCTATCAAGTTTTCTACAGCTAACAGTCATTTTCTTCACTTTTGTTGCTGTAATAAATGTGCGAAAAAGTTGTAAAGATTTAAGTGTTACTCTCACACCAAGATGTTAATTTTGTCTTGATATACAACCTTCCGCATAAGCGCTTCGAATGTCTTGGGTATGTTGGTTGTAAATTACGCAACTGGCTATCTAACATCCATTTATTACAATTCTTAACACTTGCACGTCCTCAACTCGAATTTGCGTCCACTATAAGGTTTCTCAATCTGTGGTTCTTCAAGATATCTAGGATTGAGTTAGTCGAATAGTTTCCCGCAATTACAACAATCAGTCAAGTGGGACAAACATAAAACTCGGCTTTTCTCTTTAGACACTTCTAGCCAGTGTGTCACACCACTCCTATCATTCAGTATGTTAGTCTATTAAGCCACCAAAGTTTCCCTCGAACTTGGACCTTGAAGAAATGGTTATGGTGTTTGCCTGCTGACCTAAACATTGCGCGTTTGAGATTTTTTTCAGGTGGTCGCATTTCGATGAAAGGGGATTACGAGAAGGCCACCTACTTTGCGATGTGAGTGCTCCTCAAAAAACACCAGGTGAACAAAATTTCTTGAGGCATCCACCAGACCGTGTCTCAAACAAATCCTGGTTTGGGATGTAAAGCCATGCATACTAATAATAATGAATGGACATCGCTCACACAGTGTCGGCAATTATAATTCCCTAGGTCGACTATCCACACCTGAAAAATTCACACAGAATGACGTCAATACTTTTTTTTCGCATCCGAGGATTAGAGTATACCAACTTACTGGAGCCACTCCATCAGTTACGCATTCCAAAGCCCTGTATTGGTTTAGGGCTGCTAAATATTCGTCTTGCTTAACTGCAGGACGTTCCCATGCTTTAACTGCATGGGAACGTGTGGAAAATAATATGAACATAAATATTTGGTGGTAAAATGAGAACACTAGGCGATGTAGATTGCGATGTCAGCTTCAAAGCATGATAGTAAAATTGTCCAGAAGTGCACCTATTTCTACGCGCAAAACAACATTTTAGGCTTAATTAACATACAGTATTTTTTGCAAACAGAGAAGAAATTGCATACCAATATTGTGAACACTAAATATTATCACATATTGAGGCCGCACAGTATATTAAACTTAAAAGATATAACACAATGAGTACGTAATGCATGGGGCAATACTTATGTTACTGCTGTTATACAGACGAAGCGTGTGATTGGTATTTTGATTTGTCGGAGAGAACATCGCTGGCATGTAGACACACGTAGTTTTTTTAAACAAATTGCACACGCACGAGCCAAGTGCAGGAAACATCCTGCTGCAGATAATCCAGAAAATGCCTGATTTGAATTTTGTCTTGCCTTTATATTTTGAATTCTTTGTAAAATGCACAATTAAATTGCGATGCAAAACTATTTATGGAGCCCTGGCGTTTATATGTTGCTGGCGAGAAGAACTTTCCGAATGGCTATCAGTGATGTGAACTGCACATGGAATCAGAACATGGCGTCTACAGCTGCAGTCCTTGTAAAGTAAAGCTAGCAGTGCTACGAATTTCATTCCACCCACTACGTGTTAGGGCAGTAAGGTTCACTGTCCACTGGCTGCTGGTTGTCGTAAAATAAACCTTCGTTTTTTTCAGCCCTAATGCTCCCGCACAAACTGCAACTCAGCATTTCCTAATGCGTGCACTAGCAGACGATTGCGTGCCTTGGCCTAACGAAACAAGGTAGACAAGCATATAGTGTTGACACGTTGCTTATCGTGAATCATTTACACCGCGGACAATCATAAATGTAGGAAGCTAGCGTTACACTTAGTGGTTGAAGCCAACTAACCAACTTTTAGGCTTTATTTCATGAAAAGCTTTACGTAGACTCATTCACTACCTATTTTAGTTATGTACGCATTAATATATATTGCAACAGCGTAAGTTCGCCGTAATTCTGCATCTATGATTGTTGTTATGTATAAAAAAATTTTATAGCTTCATATTTATGTTATACATGTTGCTGCTTATTTAAGTATTTATTCTACATCTTTAAATGCTTTTCTTGACATATACACCTGCTGTATTTTGTTCACAGATATGACACGTTTCTCACGTCTTGTTTTGCACTTTTACTTTGAAATATAGCCATCCCTTCATGTAATAGCCTCCTAAGAGGACCCAAAATGATATTTTGATTGGGATGTTAAAGTACAAAAAGGTTCGTTGTTGGAAGCTTTGTGCGTTTACACATGGAACGCTTTCTGCGATAAACCCACGCACAATAATGAAAAGTGTGCTCCTGTTTTCGTGGGCAAACTCAAAGTGTGTTGTCATAAAACATATCTGTGTGTTTTCGCGGATAACAAGTTAATTTAAACAGAAAGTGATGTCGAGAGTGTAAATACTTGGAGGCTTCAGGCTTTACTAGTATTTCTAAGGATAACACTGCAAAATCGCATGCACCAACTTTTCCAGCTGCCGTTCGGACTAAGTTTAGGTGATGAATGTATCTTTTCTTTCAAATTGAACGCTTCATTTTGTCGTAGAGATTAGTGCTTTTGTGCGCGAAAGTCACGAAAATGTTTTTCCAATAAGATGGCAAGCTATTTTATTCTAATTACAAGTAGTTTTTGACATGACTATTCAGGCTTAGCCATCTGACAATAATCATGCAGCATATGACTGACCCAGTATTGATCTGGCGAAAAACACGAAGAAAATCTTACTGGTGAGTAACAACTGCAATAGCTACCGGCTACTAAGGCAGGTACCCTGAATTTAGTGAATTGGGCTCGAAGATAGTAGACGCTATCATTGTTCTATGTTTACTAACCTGCCAGAGCGTCCAGCCATAGTTCCCTTGTCATCATATGGCGAGGTTCTGTTGGACGTTTAGGAAACACACGAAACTGTACTGAATTCTTGTTTCAGGGCCACTTATTCATGCATACGGTGTTGAGTGCGTCGCGTTCTTGAGCACGCCAGATGCTGATCCGACGCACCCAAATATTCAGTTTCTTCTCGTGACACTCAACCCCACGACTGTCGAAGCAGGATACCTAGCCGGTCTGATAGGCGTATCAAAGGTGAGCTTCAATTTTTACTTCAATATTAATGCTTTAAGCCTTTCTTCACCGTGAATATACGCGAAACTTCATTCAACTTGAACGAAAATAGTTTTGTGTTGTTCCTACATGTTTTTTGTAATCAAAAGGGCATAATTTTATATTTAGTAAGGTAACTTCAGTTCAGTAATGGCCTTAAAAAGAAAATGTAAACATCAACCACAGATTGGGATCACTATGACAACTGGAAATCTGTGGAATCTAGCATCAAGAAACAAATTCCACCTTTTGCATGTCTTCGCAGAACATGTGCAAAACAGTGCGTTTACTCTGGAAAACGATGTGAGTGGCACCGTCATACACGCTGCCTCTATTTCCGAGGAAGCATTGGGGGTGGAAGTAGTGTTGCAAGTGGTGGAGGTACATAATATATATATATATATATATATATATATATATATATATATATATATATATAATATATATATATATATATATATATATATATATAGATATATAGATATATATATATATATATATATATTAATAATGAGATCTAACAGACAGTAATGACACGGAATGTACAAGAGAAGATATTAGAACCAATTAAATGTAAATAAGAAGAAAGAAAAGTGGATGAAAAAATAACCAGCCGTGAGCAGACCGTAGTCAGCTACCCGCTCGTAATAAGTTCACGTACTACGTGACGCCACACATGCGCATAAAAGAGTGTTTCACACTCGTCACTTGGCCTATAGATGGCGCTGACTGACACCCCTACTTCTAAATTCACATATAAACCCAAAAAAGTGGATGGAGGGAATGCCGCTGAGATAGCTCAGTGGTTAGAGCGTAGAACGCGTTATTGGAAGGTCGTAGGTTTGTTTCCTGCTCACCGCTGGTTATTTTTCACCCACTTTTCTTTTTTCTTATTTACATTCCATTGGTTCTAATAACTTCCCCTGTACATTCCTTGGCATTACTGTCTGTTAGATCTCCTTACTATTGTGTCAAAACACGGAAAAATGACCCTTAGGTATACACTTTTTCTCTTATATATATATATATATATATATATATATATATATATATATATATAATTGCTACATGCCAGTGCAGGGAGTTGAAGAAGACAAAGCATATAGACTGGCGCGAGCTATTCTGTGCGGCTGGCGCTGCTAGCTTAACCAGCTGTAAATACATCTCTGACTACCCCTCCGAGTCGGTCTCATTCTCGTAACATATTTGGTGGAGTTGTATGATGCCCGTCCTCGCCACGGAATTCCGAAGCAGACGCTCCTTCGCGGCTTTCAACTTTACCACTCAAGACTCAGCTACATCCTCCCCGGTCGCCCGCCATTCTGCCCGGCCTGTCAACCCAGCGCCTGCAACAACTTTCGTGATGCTTCCCGCCCTCAATGACCCAGGCGTGTTCTCAGGTCGCGAGGTTTCGACGTCGACACATGGCTACGCCTCTACGAACGCGTCAGTGCTACTTACAGGTGGGATCCCACACTTATGCTCGCAAACGTCATCTTTTATCTCGACGGAACCCCTCGTGTTTGGTTTGCCAACCACGAGCATGACATAACAAGCTGGGACAGCTTCAAGGAAAAGATCCGTGAGCTTTTCGGCAACACTCCTGGTCTTCGTGAAGCTGCAAAAAAATAGTTGTCGAATCGCGCACAATCTTCCGCGGAGCCCTACATCGGTTACATTCAGGCTGTCCTCTCACTATGCCGCCAAGCTGACGAAAACATGCCAGAGCCCGAAAATGTTGCCCATATCCTAAAGGGTATCGCCGACGATGCTTTCAACCTGTTGGTATTCAACAATGTGTCATCTGTTGATGCGATCATTCAAGAATGCCGCTGGTTCCAACAAGCAAAAGCAGGCGCATCTCCCATCAGTTCCAGTGCCTTCCGAACACCGCTGCAACGTCCTCGTGGCTCGACACATATCATCCACCAGACACCTGTGACAACTTGACGCGACTCGTCAGGCGCGAACTTGAAGCGGCTGCTCCAGCTAAGGTGAGACCAACGTCTCCTGACCCCTCTCCTCCAATTAGGTTGCCCCTCACTCAAGCAGTCGTCCCGCAGAAAATCGCCAGCATGGGAATTCACACTATCTCACCGCCTCCCCGCACCAACTTTCAGCCCCAATACACGCCTGCACGTCCCTTCCCAACCGGCTCTCTCTCAACGTTCCGTACTCCGTTCGCATGGTGAACACACGATAACAAGCCCATCTGCTTCTCGTGTCACCAAATCGGGTACATTTCTCGCCATTGCAGAAGTCGCTGGGGTCCTCTTGTACAAGCCTCCTCTTGTCCCATCTATGCACGTCCTGCCTATTGCCTTGAGACCAGCCGTGACCATTTTGCCTAGACACCTGCTACTGAACACCGCTACTCCCGCTCTCCACCCCCCCAACGTCACCAGTCTCGCTCCCCACAGCCCCGCCGACCGTCTTCCCCGCCTTCTCACGAGGTTCCCCGACAAAAACTAAGTGTTGCAGCCCCGGGAGGTGGCGCTGCCTCGCTCGGTTTGAGCGAAAATTCTCTCTTCACGATACCGACAAAACGGAACCTTATAGACGTACATGTAGACGGCGTACCTGTCACTGCTCTTGTCGACACCGGCGCTCAACTTTCCGTGATGACGAGTGATTTTCGCCGCAAGCTCAAGAAGGTTGTCACACCTGCGACCACTCAGTTCGTCCGTGTTGCGGATGCCGGAATAGCATCTATCGTTGGAATGTGCTCCGCTCGTGTAAGCATTGCGGATCGACACACTGTTGTTCTCTTCACCGTCCTTGATATATGCCCCCACGACGTAATCTTAGGCGTCGACTTCCTGTCAGCGCATTCTGCCCTCATAGACTGTTCGTCCAGTACGCTCCGTCTACACTTGCCCGCAACAGAACCTCTTGCACAACGGCCGAGTCACCTCTGCACAACGGGACACATGCGCCTTCCTCCACAGACACTGACCTACATGGAGCTCGTCTCAATACCACCAGTTCCCGTCGGTGACTATGTTCTGACCCCTATCACCAATGTCCTCATAAACTGTGGCATTACATTACCGCACACCATTCTGTCCGTCAGAGGAAATTCTACGTGCCTCCCAGTTGTGAACTTTAGCTTGACACCTCAAGTGCTGCCACAAGGGATCTCTTTGGCATTGCTCTGCACCTTAGAAGACAATGCGGTAGATGTTTTCACGACGGCCGCTCCTTGTGACCCCCACGCTCAACATCAATCTGCCACTTGCTCCGACGGTGCTATTAAGCGGATGATTCCTTCCAACTTAACGCCGCAGCAGACTTATGAGCTCCAGCGCGTTCTACTTTCCTACATCGACGTTTTTGAACTCAGCGGCCGTCCGTTGGAGAAAGGTACTGGTATGACCCACCGCACAAGCACTGGTAATGAGCATCCAATTCATAGGCGTCCATATCGGGTGTCGTCGGCCGAGTATCACGTTATCCAAAGTGAGATCGATAAAATGCTCTCCAAGGACATTATTGAGCCATCGTGCAGTCCTTGGGCTTCTCCTGTAGTACTAGTCCGCAAGAAAGACGGTGCATAGCGTTTCTGCGTTGATTATCGACACCTTAACAAAATTACCAAAATGAACGTGTACCCCCTGCCACGAACAGATGATGCGCTTATTGCCTCTATGGGTCCCATTATTTTTCCTCCACAGACCATTGTTCCGGCTACTGGCAGATAGAGATAGATGAAATGGACCGTAAAAAGACGGCATTTATCACCCCCGATGACCTATATCAGTTCAAGATCATGCCCTCCGGCCTTTGTAACGCGCCCGCCACCTTCGAGCGAATGATGAACTCCCTGCTCAGAGAATTCAAATGGTCCACCTGTTTGTGCTACTTAGACGACGTCATCGTCTTTTCACCGTCATTTGAAGCTAATATAGAGCGCCTCTCAGCCATCTTGAGAATCTTCCGTCGCGCTGGCCTGCAGCTCAACTCTTCCAAACGTCACTTTGGACGCAATCAATCACAGTACTTGGCCATTTAGTAGACGCCAACGGCGTACAACCAGACACGGCAAAAATCAGCGCCGTCAAAAACTTTCCTTTACCATGATTTGCGAAGGATGTACATAGCTTTATCGGACTATGTTCCTACTTCCGACACTTCGTGAAAAATTTTGCGCACATAGCGAGGCCGCTTACGCAGCTCCTCAAGAAAGACGTCCCGTTTTCACGGGGCTCCGAAGAGGCTTCTGCGTTCTCGACTCTCATCGCTCTTCTCACTACTCCTCCGATTCTGGCACACTTCAATCCTGCTGACCCTACGGAAATCCGAACAGATGCAAGTGGACATGGCATTGGTGCAGTGCTGGCTCAGAAACAACATGGCCATGATTGCGTTATTGCATATGCCAGCCGCCTCCTATCCGCCCCTGAACGTAACTGTTCGATCACAGAGCGTGGGTGCTTGGCTCTTGAATGGGCGGTGGCGAAATTTCGACCTTATCTATACGAACGCCCATTTTCGGTAGTTACCGACCACCACGCGCTCTGCTGGTTTAACTCTCTGAAAGATCCGCCGCCTTGGTCGCTGGGCTTTGCGCCTGCAAGAGTTTTCCTATTCGGTGGTCTACAAATCTGGCCACCTACACCATGATGTTGATTGCCTCTCCCGATACCCTGTCGACGATCCTGAGGACACTGACGAGACCACGGAGAACTTTATGTTCTAAGTGTCCAACTTCCTTAATAATGGGGAAGAACAGAAGCGCGATCCAGTGCTGCTTGACATCATCAGCCGTATGGAATCTTCCCCAAATTACGCCTACGTCCACTACTTTTTCATTCAAAAGGGTGTGCTATACCGTCACAATTTCCGACCAGACGGGCTTGACCTTCTAATTGTTGTGCCTAAAAATTTGCGCCGCTGTGTTCTCGCCGAAATTCACGACGCTCCCAGGGCTGGACACCTTGGCGTATCCCAAACGTACGAGCGCGTCCGCCGCCGTTTCTTCTGGCCAGGCCTTGCTCGCTCGGTACGCCGATACGTCACCACGTGTGACCTATGCCAACGTCGTAAAACACCATCGCTGCTAGCCGCTGGCCATCTTCAACCAATTGACATACCCGCGGAACCATTTTACCGTGTTGGATCAGACCTGCTTGGTCCTTTTCCCACATCAACATTGGGAAAAAAATGGATAGCCGTTATTACAGAATACGCTACACGCTACGCTATTACGCGAGCTCTACCGACCAGCTGAGCAACCGACGTCGCTGACTTCTTGATACGGGACGTTATATTGATTCACGGTGCAGCGAGACAGCTTCTCACAGATCGTGGCCGTACATTTCTATCCCAAGTCATCGCCGACATTCTGCGTTCTTGTTCCACGCAACACACACTGACAGCCGCTTACCACCCTCAAACAAATGGCCTCACGTAACGATTTAACCTCACTCTAATAAATATGCTCGCTATGTACGTGTCGCCCGACCACCAAAACTAGGACCTTGCCTTACCCTACGCAACTTTCGCGTCTAGTTCCTCCCGTCACGACACAGCGGGCTTTTCGCTGTTCTACTTACTGTACGGAAGAGAGCCGACTTTACCAATGTACACAGTCATCTAAGCTCACACCTCGTCCACCAACGAGTATGCCCGCGACGCGATTGAGCGAGCCGATCATGCCCGTCATCTCGCTTGCGCTCAGCTGATGGCGTCGCAAACCAACCAATGCCGTCGGTACAATGCGGAACATACAGACGTACATTTCGCTTTCGGTACCCTCGTTTTACTCTGGTCCCCTCATCGTTGGCTGGACCTATCAGAAAAAAATGGCAGCATATCCACGGAGTGAATAATGGAGAGTGGGGCGACGCATTCGTTCGTCCATGCGTCCGTCTGTGTGACCGTCCATGCGTCTGTTCGTGCGACCGTCCCTGCGTTCGTTCATGCATCCGCCCCTGCGTCCGTTCATGCGTCCATCCATGCATCTGTCTGCGTGTCCGTTCGTCAATCTATTGAACACTCCAAGTCCCACCATCTCGCACCTTTTTATCATATATTCCCCATATAGAAGCACCGCCATTCAGTGGACATTCCAAGGACTAAACGAGAGGTGGCACACGCTCACTTTCTTACGGCTTGCGCTTCGGGTCTACTTCCCACCTTCAACCACCTTGAGTTCATGGTATATACTAGTTCACTATATTCATGGCACTGCAGCCCAATGCTCGCTAAACCTTCCTAAACCAAGGAGGTTACGCCCAGCGAGTATAATGTAGCAACCCTTTCTTGTCCGATAGTGCTCAATGCACATCACAATGGCTGCTAATGGGAATCGCAGCGTGCGCGTTGACTAAAAGCCGAATGCTCCTGTCTCTCATTCCCCATTAGCAGCCATTGGCATGTACATTGAGCACAATTTTTTATTGTTAAACAACGCACAGAAGAAATCTTTTACCGGCACCACCTTGGAGGTCAAATGTTATACCTATTTCGGGTATGTGCCACTGGTGGTTACGTACTACGAGGGACGCCCAAGCCACGCCATGAGGAGCTTCGCCCCTAAAGCTTCTGTCTCATCACACGGGACCCTACCGTATATTGCGTCAAGTAACACCTGTTACCTACGAGATCAGTTCCATCTATCCACCATCATATGCTGTGTGGTCCAGTGATATTGTACACGTCTCGCGGATCAAGCCCTACAGGAATGCGTCAGATAATGACCATTAAAGCACCGGGCCGGTGTCTTCGCCGCCGGGGGTCATGCTACGTGCCAGTGCATGGAGTTGAAGAGGACAAAGCAGATAGACTGGTGCGAGCTAATCTGTGTGGCTGGAGCTGCCCGCTTAACCGGCTGTAAGTACATCAATGACTACTCCTTCGAGTCGGTCTCCTTCTCGCAACAATATATATATATACATATATACATATATATATATATATATATATATATATATATATATATATATATATATATATATATATATATATATATATATATATATATATATATATATATTAGGGAAAGAAGTGTACACCTAAGGGCTCGTTTTTCCTTGTTTTGACACAATAATTATGAGATCTATATATAGATATATATAATTGCAGGGAATAAATTCTTGGACACCAGTAAATAGTATGAATAAAAAGCAGACACACGTCGAAAAAGCAGAAAGGTTTCTGGTGGTTCGGTGTGGGGCAAAAAAAGAGGGCAAAAAAGAGCCCCACACCGAACCGCCAGTGCCAGGAGGGGCCGTCTGATCGGGAGAAATGAGTTAGTGAACGGAAACATACACAGACCGCTGACATCAGAAAGGTGAAGGGGAGAGGGGGGAGAGAGTTGAAGGGGGAAGAGGAGGGAAAAGTGGAGGGGGGAAGTGGAAGGAAGAGTGGAAGGGGGGCACCCGAGGGGCATCCACCGTATATTATTTTTCTCTTCTTCTTCTCTTTTTTCTTCTTTTTCTTTCCTTTTCCTTTTTTTTCTTTTTTGTCCTTTTAACTTTTCTGTCTTTTTTTCCTCTTTCCTTGCCCTCTGATTTGAGATTGTATAAAGCTGAGCACGAACAAACTGTATCTTTCATCCTGATGAAGGCCAGACTCTAGGCCGAAACGTCGAAATAAACCACGTTGTGACCGCTCACGGAGTATCTACTGGAATATATGCAACGCTACCTATATATATATATATATATATATATATATATATATATATATATATATATATATATATATATATATATATATATATATATATATAAATATATATATATATATATATATATATATATATATATATATATATATATATATATATATAGAAAGAGAAGAAACACAACCTAGAGGTTTTTTAATTTTATTAGCAACGGTTTTGACCGGTGGACCGGTCTTCTTCAGAGATTGCCCGGGTCGAAACCGTTGGTAATAAAATTAAGACAACTGCTAATTTGTGTTTCTTCTTTTCCAAAGTACGTTTGGCCCATTGGAAAAACTGGAAAAACTTCTTTAGTATATATATATATATATATATTGGATAGCGCAATGCTGGAAATTAATGCCTTTTATGGAAGCACTTTGTGAGGCTTGCCAAGCAGTTAAGTGTACTAAAACAGGAAAAAGCTCAGAACGAGCATCAACAAGTGAAGTCGAAGCAGCGTAGCTTGGGGCACTCCAACCAGTAGTACACTATGTGTTGTCTTTTGAATAGTTGTGCACGGCTTTGCCAAATTAGCGCAGTGGAAATATGCCCGCTCCCCGCTCGAAAGGCTTTGGTATATTCTATGAGTAGATTAAACCAATATATGACCATACATGCTCCTTTATTTGTATTTTCATGGTAATATTGTATTTCAATGTACCAGTGACCCATTTCAAAGAGTGATGAAACGGTTGGAAATGACTTCGACAATCTTAGAACCTTGTGAGTCACAATACGTGCGCATTTCCAACATTAAAGTTAGGACTGGCCCCGCCGCGGTGGTCTAGCGGCTAAGGTACTCGTCTGCTGACCCGCAGCTCGCGGCCCGGCTGCGGCAGCTGCATTTTCGATGGAGGTGAAAATGCGGTAGGCTCATGTGCTTATAATTGGCTGCACGTAAAGAACCCCAGGTGGTCGAAATTTTCGGAGCCCTCCACCACAGCATCTCTCATATTCATATGGTGGTTAAACTCACATATATATCTAGAGTTAAGACTGGAACTTTCGTGGTTCTATAGATAAGACCAGAACATCCGATTATGCACGTATAAAAGCTGAGACGCTAGTGCACTTTTCTCTTTATCGACGTCCGATGCTGTGTTCGCTGCTATCAGTGTGCGGTGGGCATTGATTTCTGTTTCGCAGCCACAATTTTTTTCAAATAAAAAGCTTGAAGTCGGAGACGTCAACTGTTGCCTTCGTCAGTGCTATGGCCCCAGGACAGTGTATGCCTTTGAAAACATATAAATTGTTTTAGTCAATGCAATTAAAAGAAAGAACAAGGCAGTTGCTTCCCTACATTGAAAGCATTGTATCCTCTGCCTGTTTTTCAAAAGATATTCTTAAGTTTTGGAAGTTCATGGTCGTTATAAGTGTGAATAATGCGTGTGCAATCGGAAGGTGCAGTTACCCAAATGTATGTTTCAAGTATTCAATTTTACCGCAACATAAAATGCACTACAAGTGTGTGACGTTTTATTTGTGTACTATTGCAGATATATGAAAACTACTACAAGCGAAAGCGTGGTGACAACGTAATAATGATTGTGCCAGCACTTCTGCGCCCCAAATCATCAGGCTACATTCGGCTGAGGAGCACCAATCCCGAAGAGTATCCTAGTATTAACCCTAGATTTTTTACCGATACATCAGACCTTGAATCATTAATTGAAGGTGAGTATTTGTAATTACATTTTGAGCTTCGTGTCCGGGCACGACCTGTTTTATTATTGCACATATATAAAGAAATAATTCAAAAAGAAGACTACACAAGGTGTCATTACAGATGCCACAATTTTCTGGGTACTACATGGAATCAAGTCGTTTCACCCGATCTTCAAGACAACTAAAGTTTTCTGTTCGAATGTAAGTGCGAGAGGCCTATGGTTGCTGAGTTAGTTACCGTGAAGCTCAGAGTTTTTTAGACCTACGTAAAGCTCAGCTCGAATGGAGGAAGACGGGAGCCGCACACCTATTCAGCTTCTGGATACTGATAGCTCGTACGTTTACGTTATAAAGGAAGTTAGGACGTAGAAATATGGACACCAAGCAGAGCAACGCAAATTTAGCTGTCCTGCTGTTCTGCTGTGACTACGACTTGGACTACTACGATGAACGAATGGGTGCCGCTTTAAGAAGGTTCACCCCTAAAAGGTTGAGGGGAAACCTCGATCGGTTGAAAAGGTATCCGGCTGGTAGAGAAGATGGCTCTTTACGGCCCTGGCAGGGCTCACAAACGGGTAAGTATACTGGTTACACACTACGACTACGTCTAAGAATACTACGATGAACGAATGGGTGCCGCTTTAAGGAGCTTCGCCCCTAAATGGGTATGTGTCCGCTGTTCAGCTGTCCTGCTCAATCATTCGACAATACCTTGGGCTTTACGCTCCAACGCATGATATGATTATGAGTGACGCTATGATGGAGGGCTCGGGAAATGTTGACCATGCGGTATTTAACGCGCTTTGATATCGCACATTACACCACTCTCTGTCATTTCTTCCCCACCGAAATATGACTGGTTGCGGCTGAGGTAAAACCCATAATCTTGGAGGTAGCAGCCGATGCACTGTAGCCACCGATCCACCAGTGGCCGACAATTGTTGAGTCTTCTCTCTGCGAGTTTACACAACAAAACTTGTGTCGTACTTTATTTCGCATACGATATTGTGCTTAAGTTGCCTTGCTATACACAATAGTTATCAATGTGTGCGTCTTGGCTACCAAGCCTATGTGTTGCCGTGGATAATAGGCGTGCTGCCATTATGCTGGACTACAATATTTGGAGGCATGCATGCCCGAAATACCCAGCCACCACACTCCATCAATGGTGTTGGAGAATCAATGTCTAAATTGAATCCACCCTTTTCAAACATGTATTCTGAAGACCTGTTCAAGAGTTAACACTGGATAATATTTTTTTAGTATGAAAGTGTTATGTGGTGGTCATTGTAAAATTATGACCTTGCGCAGTTACCTAACCCCACATTTGTTTTAAGAAAGAGTTCTGCCAGACAGTCTTCATAAACGGCGTTCCACTAGAGAGGAGAGCCAGGGGAAAGTGTCTGAAAGACTACGACAGCGCTAAATGTATTGCTCAAATACATGAGTTACGGCGTTGAATAAGCGACCAGCCCTGGCAGCGGGCGATACCGTTCTGTATAAGTCTCGAGAAGAAACACTGGCGGCGTGGCCGTCGGGGTGACGTGACGTCACGACAACGACTCGCTTGATCCGCGGCCGATTATCACCTCTTTCTGCGCTCACCGTGTGCCCGCTCTTACGCGATAGGGTGGTAATAACTGCTCATAGTTGCGATGCGTATCTAGCAAGGTAGATTGACTTGATTTGAGATGTGGGGTTTAACGTCCAAAACTACCTCATGATTATGAGAGACGCCGTAGTAGGAGGGCTCCAGAAATTTTGACCAACAGGGGTTATTTAACGTGCACCGGAATCTCAGCACACGGACCTGCAGCATTTCCGCCTCCATCAGAATGCAGCCACCAGCAGCCGGCATTCGATCTCGCGACCTGCGGGTCAGCAGTCCGAGTACCTTAGCCACTCGACCACCGTGGCGTGGCAGCAAGGTAGAATGCGGCCCTTTACACAGCTTGCGACTTTTAAATGAGCTGCAGAAAACTGCGATACTTTAACTGGCAAACTTCCTTCTGAACGGCCGATTCACTTTGAAAATGGAGGTGCATTACAGCGAGGCATTGATTGTTTTCCACCGCTTGCGCCTGGAAATCGGAGCTAAAACAGTTACTCTGATCATTCTAACTTCATTACAATTTGGCGTGCACAACAGGCTTCGGAACACGCATCCCGAAAAAATAATAATAAAATTAGAGTGTTTTTGAATACACTGAATACATCGTGGTTTTCGTGCAGATCATTCAGGTGATTTGACAAATTTTCGCTTTTCGCTAAAAGAGATGTTAGATGAATCTACCGAAAAAAGCTTTTATTAGAACCAAATACACGCTCCAACACAATACGTCCAGGGAATAGCTGAGATGTTAATGCACTTGAATTGCGTAAATATTAGTTTTAAACAGCTGTTCGCTGTTTAAAATGATGCGGCCATAAATTCTGATTTGCGCAAACTGCTGGTCCGATCAAAGACCGTGTCACAAGCTGCATACTTATGTCACGTGCGAGTACTCTTTATATAATAGTTTCCAAAGAAACGACTGAAACTTGAAATAGGCGTTCTGAGTGGTTTTGGTGGCGCTCTCAGCAGCGTGGCCCACGTAATTATTAAACGAACTTCACCTCAGTGAGTCAGTGACTGGATTCGCTCATCATATCCACGTACAAGATAATGAGGGTGCAATCAAGTGCAAGGAAAATATATCCATGAGTGAGCTATCCAAACCGGTACTTGCAAGTGTAACAGCGCCGTTGCTAGGATGCTGTGTGAAGTTTTCCCGGTAAACATCAACTCACTTTTTACTGAGGTGAAGCCCCGAGATAACTGCGAGGAAAGTGTGAAACTGCATGAAGAGTGAGCGAATACATAAGAGAAAAAATTCAAGAGCTGCCATGGTATTCTCGGACAAGCGCTTTGAAAATACTTTCTGATGAATTTTCGCAACTGTGCGTAGAGGTGTGGCAGCTTGGCTAGTTGGTATGACAATACGATATTTATAGCGCGAGAGCAGAACGACGACACAGAGACAAGAAGGCCACGAAGGATACGTGTCCTTCGTGGCCTTCACTCTAAGGCAAGAAGGTGTTAAAAGGGTGTGTGGTTCGTCCTTTTGGGGACTAATGGGGCTGACTCAACCATTAATCCCTTTAAAGACTAACGGCACTGGGTCTTACATTTAGCCCCCTCAGACGAGCTCAAGGGACTAACATTTTGTCCTCACATTTGCACCTTATAGGGCAACTGTTAATCCCCACATATACACCTTACCGGGCAACTGTTACTCCTCACAGTTGCACCTTGTCGGACGAATGGTTGTTCCACTCAAACACTCCAATCGAATGGACTTTTTGCCCCCAGTTCAAACATTGTTTTTGTTTATTTTCCACCAGGACTAATACTTTTTTCGCCTGTTTTTCTGCGCAATGAGCAACAAACTGCGCAGAAAAGAACACGCAAAAAAGTAGTTAGCCAACTATGTGTAACTGCTTTCGCAGTCACGGCAACAACGAAAGACAAAAGTGAGACATCGAAATATTTTATTTTTTTCTACACACATGAAGTTTCTCCATTCTTTTAACTGAATTCATGGTGAAGTGCACAAGTCCAGTCTCGTTGTCACATCTTGTTCACTTCTTGTGGAGCTCCTCCGACGGAAGCGACAGATGACAGGCATTACAGACGCCAGTGGACGCAGCCTTCTGCCTGTTGTGTTCCCACGGCTGTGCGTACAATAAGATAGTAAAAATAGTTAGACACACGTGACAGAAGATGAAGATGCAGGCATTTGACAAGTACGTCCACGTTAATATAAAAACATGCGTGTAAAATATGACGCACAAATAACTTTACCTTCACATCTCGCACAGTTCTTCTGAACCTGCTCTGACAAAAGAGATGGGTGACAGGCATCGCAGGCGCCAGCGCACATAGTCTTCAGCACGGTGTGTGCCCACGGCTGCACAATAAGTATGTAAAATAGTGAGTCACACGTGACAGAGGATGAATACGAATGCATATGAGAAATACGTGCAAGGTGAAATGAAAACATACGTGACATATGACATGCTAATAATTTCACCGTGATGCCACACATCGTCAAAGACTCATTTCGATCCCCGTAGCGCAACAGCTTAGGAGCCGCGGCCGCAGGCACAACTCCGCGAACGACCGTGCCACTAACAATTCGGCGACCGCTAAGCGAGTGACGTCGTACAGCTCCAGCAAGTGAACGTGAGAATAAACACGGCGCTGCACGTGGAGTGCCTGCCGCCAGTGAACTTCGAACAGGAGAGCGAGCGTACGCTTGGCCACCGCCACGAACAGCGCCGAGCTGGTTTGGAGCTTGCGCCGAAGAAATCGACGGTAATGCGGCCTTTTTTCCACAAAACTCGAGCGAGTGCAGCTCGCAAACGCGAGTCTGCCGCCGCGGCCAACGGACGGCGCCGAGCTGCTGGTGACCGACTGACGGGAAAGTCAACTGTAATGGCGACCAATTTTCAGTGAGTTCCGACTGATAGCGAAAGCCCCGCAAGCCCGTTCTGGTGCACTTACAGCGAGCGACATACTACAACCAAGCTCTTTACAAGAACCCGCAACGTGTTTTTGACGACTCCCAACAGAGCGACGAGTCCTCAGCCCAATATCCTGCGCCCGGAGCTCATCGCCACTGGCGAAGACAGGCGAGCACTTGATGAGCGAGGGTACGGTAGGCCGACGGCAATGGTGGCCAATTTCTAGGCGGTCGCAAAGCACAGGCGAACTGCAGGCGGCCAAGCTAACCTTCGCGGAGCATTTCGTGCGTGCGATATACAACACGACCGATCCCGTTGCCGGCAAGCGCGATCCGTATCGCACACGCGACAAGTAGAGTTGAACCTACTTGTACACATACTTGCTTAAGAATCCAGTGCTGAATTTTGCCCCTAGTCAGACTGAAGTATATATCCGATAGGCCTGCTGTCTTTTCGGCCGCCATGTTGGCCTTCCCAACTCTTGATGTCGTGTATTGGTTGTG